TATTGGTGGGGAACATGATTCGAACATCACCTGCTGAAAACCGGGTCCAGCGTCCCTTGAATACATCCTTACAAATCTTTCCATTTGAAAAGTTAATGGAGTTTTCAGTCCTGTTTCTTTTTTTTCTTTTTCTTTTTTTCTTTTTCTTTTTTTTTTTTTTCTTTTTTTTTTTTTGGGTTTCAGTCCTGTTTCAAGTTGAACCAGCATCATGTTATCTTGTATCTTGTATTTTGTGTTCTCTGTGTTGTTCCACTGAACATACAATGACAAAAAGGACAACGTGCTCATCTGATTGTTCTGATTATTGTGTTGTTCCCCCCTGCACCCGCCTTGCCCATCAAACAGGTACATTAGGCCCGGCAGATTCTGCTCCTAGAGGGGGGTAGAAAACCTCTTTTGTCCTCCCCGACATCTGCTTCCTCCTCCCTGCAACATCTACTACGGGAGCGATACATGGTAGATTAGTAGGTTATCATGGCCCCTGAAAAGGGCCTGAAGAAGAAAAGGAACCTTTTTCTTCTTTTTTTTTTTTACGCCCACTACGGCAAAACCTTTTGGGTTGTTTAAGCCCAGAGTCAAGTCATGCGGAGTCTTTCTTCACTGTGGGGACGTGGCTCTGGCAATCGTCAGCCAAGAGCGCCCTTGCCCTCCTGCAGGCTCCTGGCCCACCGACTTTCAAGAACTCGACCGTGGACTCAAACTAGAGTGTGGATGTCTCCTGACGGACTGATATGGCACCCAACGTGACCCAAGGGCCCAGGCCATCAGTTTGGGTCCGCAGACGACTTCATGAAAGTCAGTGAAGGGCAGGGGCGGGTGATTCGTTTTTTTTGCCCTCCTTTTATTTTGGAGAAAGTGTTATCGCGAAACTGCCCAAATCCCAGCAGTAAGGTCGGAGTGACAGTCACACTAGCGCTATCGTCAATGCATCTGAAGATTCTGAACTTTATGAAGGCATCTACGGCCAAACCTGTATGCAACTGACGGCAGTTTAAATTGGGAAGATAAATCAAACCCATCAGCATTCAGAAGCAGATGGGGGATCATGGAGCTGCGGAAACATCATTTGCTGCCAGCTCCTTCTCCTTGGGCCCTCGGGGACATCAGTTTAAATTCGGATGATGCAGAGAAAGAAGATTTAATTTAGGAGGATGAGCCCTGTCCAGTGTCCAAGGGCCACACGCATGGATCCAGAAATGCTTCAAGGTGAGCTTTACTGATCGATTGGTTGTGTACTGTGGAAGTTGGGTCCCCGGTTCGGCTGCTGCGGCCCTAAGCTAAACTGGCTGATGCTGCCAGGGTGACTCCGGACCGGGTGGAATTGTGGGGATCCCCGGCCTCAACCCTTTTACATAACCATCAGAATTATTGTTTTGTGTTATATATATATATATATATATATATATATATATATCGTCACAAACAGAATATATATATTTATATAAACTCCGACGAAACATATATTAAAAGAACATCTGCGGGACGAAGTCGGGATCAGCACTAGTATTAACGACGGCGAGGAGAATCCGAACCCCGACAACGGCGACAAGGCGACCGCAGGAACAATCTTCTCTGCGATGTTGCAATGTTTGGACTTGTTCACACCAGAACTTCCAGGGTTGTAATTGCCCTCAATTACGGTCAGATCCAGACCGAAGAGCACTGCCTCATTCGCAGCTTCACAAACCGTTCAACCGTCATTTGACTCATTCTTACAGCCAGACAGAAGACAGACAAAACCAAACCGAGAGAAACCGAGTGAGCGAGCAAGAGAGAGAGAGAGAGAGAGAGAGAGAGAGAGAGGGAGGAAACCCATGCACTGGCAATGTGGTCCCCTCTAGGCTCTAGCCAGACCTTCCGTCTTCCTGTTTGGACCAGTCCGAGACGATTTTTTTTAATTATCATGCACAGCGAAATTAATCGCTGTTAGTATACTATAACGTAAACAGACAAACTTCCGGTTGGCCGCCGCTACGACCCGAACACTCCTCGACCACATCTCTCTCTCTCTCTCTCTCTCTCTCTCTCTCTCTCTCTCTCTCTCTCTCTCTCTCTCTCTCTCTCTCTCTCTCTGTGTGTATGAATATCAAACAAGAACTCTAATACAATCTCCTCGTGGAGCCGGCTTCGAACTCTATGTGCCTGCCTGGCCCTGGCTACCAGATTCATCTGCATTGAGTCGCTGAGACGAGCACAACAACGGCCGAGTGCACTACATCGTTATTTTTTTTACGTACTGCTCATAATTTATCAAGTCAAGTGTCCACCATACATAATCCTACTTTGTTTAAATCCACCATACATAATCCTATCAATGTGAAGTTCACCATAATCCTACTCAAAGCAAAGCCAATGATGACGAAGTCCACCATAATCCTGCTAAGAGCGAAGGCAACGAAGACAACAAGCCAACGTAGACAACCAATCTAGATTGAAGCCTGCAAGTTCTGCAACTACCATTTCCATGCAGCTGTGTCGCCGGACGCCCACAATTCCTCGTCGATGGAATGTCATGAACACATGAGATTAAAAAAAAAAAAAAAAAAAAAAAAAAAAAAAAAAAAAACATGAGATAACTACTGAGCGGCTTTGTCTGACCCCCAATCAATCTATGGTTTCCAGAGCGTGGTGGTGTCGAAGACCAGGGAGGTGACTACGTAGGGGTCCATGTTGGACGCCGGGCGTCGGTCCTCCATGTACCCCTTCTTCTTCGCYTCGGTGTCTCTTCCGATCCGSACGGAGGTTCCCCTGCTKGCCACGGCCCACGAGAACTTGTCCATGCTGGCCGTCTCGTGGCGGCCCGTCAGGCGCCTCTCGTTGCCCTCGCCGTACGCCTTGATGTGCTCCTTGTGCCTCAGCCCCAGGTTCTTCACGGCATCCATGATCACCTCCCATCCGCCGTCCTCCCTCATCGCCTTGGTGCTGAAGTTGCAGTGGCACCCGGCACCGTTCCAGTCGCCYTCCACGGGCTTCGGGTCCAGGGACAGAATCACCCCCTCCATCTCMGTRATCCKCTCCAGCAAGTACCGCGCCACCCACAGCTCGTCCCCTGCCGCGATCCCGACGGCCGGCCCCACCTGGAACTCCCACTGCCCGGGCATCACCTCGCCGTTGGTCCCGCTGATGGTGATGCCGGCGTACACGCAGGCCTTGTAGTGGGCGTCCACGATGCGCCTTCCCCACGCCTTGTCGGCGCCCACGCCGCAGTAGTACGGCCCCTGCGCGCCCGGGTAGCCATTCACGGGCCAGCCCAGCGGCCACTTGTGCTCCTTCTCCAGCAACGTGTACTCCTGCTCAAGCCCAAACCACGGCTGCGCGTCGAGCGCCTGCTGGAACAGCTTGTTGGCGGCRTAGCGCGTGTTGGTGGGGATGGGCTCGCCCTGAGGAGTGTAGCAGTCGCACATCACAAGGATGTTGTCGCCGCCTCGGAAGGGGTCCCTGAAGATGGCCTGGGGATAGAGAATCACCTCGCTGTCCTCGCCGGGAGCCTGCCCCGTGCTAGAGCCATCGTAGTTCCACTTGGGAAGCTCAGACACCGACTTCACCGGGCCGGGGAGAGTGCGGGGCTTGCTGCGCAAGTCCAGACCGGACCCGCCCACCCAGATGTACTCCGCGATGATGCGCTTCTCGTCAGCGGGCATCTCCAGTCTCAGCAGATCGTCGATCGTTGCCGCCATCGTCGTCTTCAGTGACACCACCTTCGCGCTCGGTGTCCGGCGCTGTCCGGATCCCGACCTCCGGCCTGAGGGTGTTGTTCGTAGTAGTAGAGAACTTGTAGAGAGAGATATAATGGCAGACCGAGAGAGATGGGGAGAGAACACTCAGAAGAGCGGACTCTATATAGGCGGGCGTAGCGCTCCTGGAACTTGATTAGATTGGATTAGTATTATTCTTCAACTGTATAATACTGTGCCCGAGTGAGGGGGTAGGCGGCTAGGGCGAATGGGACGTTAATATATACAAGTGTTTGCAGAGATGACTCGTCGGAGTCGGAGCAAACGAGGTGGCTGATGCAAAAGATTAGTCGCCGCCGTGTCAATGGGCCCTCGCCGCACGGCACACGCAAACTAACGAACATATCTGCCCACGAAATACGGCAACATACATGCGTTAGTCTTTATAGCAAACGGATGAACCTGTTCATTTTTCTATGGGAAGATGCACTCGTTTCGTTTTCCCTTTCGTCTCCTGCGCGGCGATGCCCATTGTGAGGCCCCGCCCATCCCCTCGGGAAAGGAAGTGTCGTGAGTGCTTGCGCCAGGGCTTCGTCACACGTGCCATGGCGGGGAATCGAAAAATTAATCGAAAAATCAGACATACATTATATAGGCCTACCGTGCTTTCCCGAACACGACGCTGCCTCATTTTGACTGTAATGAACCCGGAAGACAGCTTGTATACATTCGTTGTGAGGGTGCGGTGTGTTCGGGGGAAGACGTACTGATGTATAATAATCGGTCATAAATGCAACCACCTGGTAGCGATGAATAAGGACATACTCACATTGCGCACTTTTTTTAATCTATTTGTGGACGGATTCGCGGCCGGATACATCCGGTATGGCCGTGAATGCAGTCAGATACACTTGAGATACTGCTAATGTGAGTACTCCCTAATAATCCAACGTAAATCAAATATATATACATAATAATAATAATAATAATAATAATAATAATAATAATAATAATAATAATAATAATAATCGAACGCACGTGAGACTTGCAATTGGCTGGAATCTGACGGATACTAACAAGAACTGGAAGTCCGACCGGGGGAATCTACCTTCCCAACAAAAGAAGGATAAATAAGTGGCGGGCCCGAGACTACCGGGAATCTACCTTCCCAACAATTTCTTTGAAAAGAAAAAAAAAAAAAAAAAGACTACCAGTAGTCTCCCCAAGGGCTACTGGTAGGTCGTGTACAGCAGAAGGAGCGAAGTGGCCTAGACTACCAATGCCATCACTTGACACTCGGCAAGGGTCAACTACGATGCTGCCCTCGCCAATTCTCACCTTTGGCGAGTAGTGGAGGCAGGAGGCAAGTCGCGGATGGAAATGTGTTGCCCAACAGGAAGAGGCTGAAGAGCCGCGCGACGAGCAAAAAAAGAAAAAAATGTTGCCTCCGCGAGAGCGGAAGAGTTCCGCAAAAAAAAAAAAAAAAAAAAAAAAAAAAAAAGAAGAGTTCCGGTTCTGAAACCTCCAAAAAAAAAAAAAAGAGGGGACGAGGCCTCACGTTGTGTCCAAGGTGAAATTGAGAGAAGGGTGAATGTGAGGGGAAGGAATGAAGCGCTGCGCTACCCGGCGTACTCGCTGTCCGGAGACGGCAGCTCTCTGCGTCAGCAGCAAGGGCCGGATTCGGGCTGTGGGGCGGAACGATGTATTCCTCTATGATTTCTAGGTTCGGCCATCGCCCTCAGCTCCGACAAGGGGCTGTGCCTCCCTGTGGAATACCAGGAGCGGGGCGTTTCCAACTCCTACAACGGACTTCCTACATCGAAATCTACAAGAGTCAAGTAACGAGTGCAGTGTGAACACGAGTGCGGGGCAGCGGGCACATCCAACAGCCGCACCTCTGGAGGCAGTGGGTGGGCAGCCGGTGGTGGTGGGACTGGTGTTGGGAGAAGCACGTGAGAACTACTGTCTACTATCTCGACTGGGAGCGTGAAGACCTGAAGCTCTATGGGCGGCGGCGCCACCAATGGGAGTGGGAGTTCCTCKGGTGGTGGTGGGAGCGTCTCCGTTGGAAACAAGGGCGCTGGGGGTTAATTAAGCCACTCTTTAGTACGAAATAATATTTAGAGTGCATTAACCCAGCCATATTTCCTACTCCTTATGAGTGGTTTACTTCATGTCTGTCGTATACGATAATATCAGGAAATACTTTCACCTTCTCTCAAGCTCTTCGTACTATGTGCTTTGGTGTCACTGGCGGCAATCCTGATCGCATTTAGTCAGTATTCTGTATCTGGGTGTATGTTTTGTTTGGTGCACTCTGCCTTTGTTATTCTTATATGGAAAACCTCGTGTTAGTAGTGTAGTATTTTGCTCACACTTTGTTTTGGGTCGTAAGGTTGGATTCAACCCTCCATCCCTATCCCTATCTCAGAGCCCGAGTATAATATAGTAATTCCAAAATCGCGCGTAACGTTTATCTCACCGAATCTCACCTAATCTAGAGGCTATGGAATCTTCTCTACAGGTTCTTGGCTTTATTTTGGTTGGTAAATGGGGAAGGTTGGGGGTGGTTCGTGGAAGGCAATGGAACTATTGGAGTTGGTGGGAGACCTAATAGTTGTGGGAATGTTGCTGACCTACTATGGCGCAACTGAATAGCATTTAGCTGGCAGGAGAGCAAACTTGGGTCGTACCCATTGAGATCTAGGGTGCCTGGGAGATGGCAGTTCCTACAGAGGTCCAAGGGTGCAAGGTGGGAAACCTGGTCACGGCAACCCAGGCTCCCCACGGCTACTAGCTGCTCTGTCGGGCCAGTATTGGTGCTGTATTCCTTCGGTGGAAATTACTCGAGCTGCTCCTTGGGCCAATCCCCTTCTTCAACTTTCCAGATTCCCTTCCAGTTCATAATCTGTTATTTGGCTTTGTTTATTAGGGTTTAATTTTTCAAATGGCAGTTTGCCGTCTTCTGGCCATCTGCATAGGCTGGACTCATAGGCTTGCTGTGGATTTTCCAACATGGATTTCTGAATTGCTGGAAGGTTAAGGGTGTTGTCGATTTAGACACTTAAGATTACAATCCCGTAGGGTTAGTTGGCTTCTCAGCTCTGGTGCTTCACGCTCACAAATGCATTTGAAACCCTTTTAGGTTGCCGGATAGGTATTAAGACCTTTTTACTGCGCTTCAGGGGAATTTTTTGAGAAGCTTCTTTGAGATAACAGAGTGGGAAAATGGGACACTGGACCCGGTTTCCAGTTCTGCCGAAGCTGGGTAATGGCCCCAGTATGTTCATCCGGGTTGAATTGTGAGGTCCCCGGCCTCTTCTGAACTTCTGTCATTTGTAATAAAGGTGACCAACTTCTCAAAAAAAAAAATAAAAAAAAATTGAGAGAAGAATATAGCTTTTTAAAATTAAAATTAAAATTAAAAAAAACAAGGATGCTACTCTTTCCGAGCATTGGGAAGGTGGAGGTGATACCTAGCCGTCACGAGGGACCGCGGCCGCAAGAAGGTGACAACGGTCACCCTCTTGCTTCTGCAACCGACAAAGAACAAACAGTGACACACTGGCAAACATGCATCCCCTGTGTAGGCCTGCCTTGCTCCCCCGAATACAACGTACGGTCATTAAAGCTCTATTTGAGGTATCTTTCAGTCTAGATATAAGGCTATAACGACCGTACGTTGTATTCGGGCGAAGACGGTAGGAGTACAGGGGCCAGGTCCCACTAGCAGCGTTGAGTTTCCTCAACGCCTGAATCTGGACGCGTTCGTGGACATGTGCGGTTGAGAAAACTCAACGCAATTTCTGCACATATCCACAGAACACGTCCAGATTCAGGCGTTGAGGAAACTCACCGCTGCTAGTGGGACCTGGCCCCAGGTAAGGCTGAGTGAAACGTGAAATTGAGAGAAGAATATAGCCCTGCGGTTAGGTCCAAGTTCCCCTAGATACTAAGTAGGGGCAATGGTCCTGAGTGCTTGTCACACTGAGGTAGGAATCCGTAGGATAGTAGAGATAGGGGGTGCGCTAGGAGTCTTGACATGAGGATGGGATGTGGGAGGGTAGCCTCGTTCCTTCAGGACGACCATTGGCTGACCGCTCCTGGCTATCAATGTGTGCCTAGTAACCGGCATCTACAACACCCTGGGCTTTTGAAAAAAAAAGAAAAAAAAAAAAAAAAAGGGAAAAGGTTCCGAAAAAMAAAAAAGGGGCATTGCCAAGTACCTTGAAGTCATAGGCGCTGTTCGGAATGAGCAAGAACATCACTCCGTAGGCAGGTATGTAGCGGCTGAGGGCATAGTACCCACACTGGGACCTATAATCCCAAATCGCCCCCAAAAAAGGGTAGCGGGCCTTTTTTTTTTTTTTTTTTTTTTTAATCATGTAGATTTGCCGAAGTACCATCCAAGTACCAAATGTACTATTGGTGTGCCCATTTGTCAGCGGCCTGCAAGGGATTCTGCGGGCTCACCTTTTTTTTTTTAATCATGCAGATTTGCCAAAGTACCATCCAAGTACCAAATGTACTATAGTTGTGCCCATTTGTCAGCGGCCTGCAAGGGATTCTGCGGGCTCACCTCTGGAGGTGACCGCAAAATAAAATGTCCTCTTTACCTGTTCGCATTTTCTTCGAAAGTTGGCAGAAATTCTCTTTACCTGTTCCCATTTTCTTCGAAAGTTGGCAGAAATTCTCTCAGGAAAGTTCTTGCACAATTTGTGGATGGAGCCGTGTGACCAGCCAAGCACCGAATCCCCATTTCTCCAGAGGGCGGCTAGTAGGCTACCTTGTCCCATCTGACAAAGTACAGAAGTGGGAAGTGAACCATGCCCAAAAACCTTTTTTTTTTTTTTTTTTTTTTTTTTTTGGGACAAGTGCTCCAATCTATTCGTGGGGAGCAACACGTGCTGGGAACCGGGCCCAGAGTCCCATATAGAATTATACAAATGATTTGAAATACCAGGGCCATTACCTGGCTTCGGCTAGGAACAATCTGAGAACTTTGAAGAAGTTCTAGAAAAATTAGGAA